TTTAACCCATGAAATATAATTCGCAATGGACTTAAATAAAAAAACGGAGAATTATCCACTCCGGGTAAACAATAAACGGAGGAACAAAATTTGGGTGAAAAAACGGAAGAATCCGGGGAAAACGGGGTATCTGGGAACCCTAACTCCTCTTCATATATGCGCCGAAGTTATGAAAACGTGGAGCTATACCTCCATTCTGTGAACATCTTCATGACTTTATACTTAATTAAGCACAGCAACTACTTAACTTTTCAACAGAGTTGCAACAGAATTTACTGGCTCTCCCTAACGGATTCATTTTTCGAAAGTATCCCCCCCCCCATTCATGGCATAAAGGCGATGCTGATGCAAGGACGGGCAGATATGTCTGCAAGCCGTTAGCTCACGCAAGCTTCGAGAATTGTAAATGCTCGCTCTCTCTCTCTCCCATCGATACGAAGAGCAAATTGATTCGAAGTAAAAAGAATTTTAGAAGTGCACACCGTACATTGAACATGCACTTCACGCAGAAAAGATTGTAAATGAAATGACCAGAGCATCCATGCCAAACTTTTGCTAACACAACAACAACAACAACAATAATAATAATAATAATAATAATAATAATAATAATAATAAAGAGGAACTGCAGAGAAGAGAAAGAGAGAGAAGTGATATTCTTAAATTCCTGGGGATGTCTTACTTTACACAAACTTTTCAACCAAGACTACGATGAAATCTTCCCTTCAAATGAACAGACATGAAGTTGTAGGGTTTGGCGTTCACACAACCGTCACTAAGAATTCTACTTTCTAGGATGTGACGCCATGCAGTTTGGTAGATTCACTCTCTACGTATTCAGCGTTAGGGCACGCGGTAGCGTAGTTGGTTGAGGCGCTATGCTATAAGAAGGAAGATCGCGGGTTCGATTCCCGATGAGGTCACTGGATTTTTCAATTGACCTAATCTTTCCAGTCGCACTATGACTCAGGCTGTAACAGAAATAATTACCAGGAATCTTCCAGGGTGTAAAGGGCGACTGGCCGACGCGTAAGGCAGACAGCCTCACCGCCATCTGTAAGTCGATTGTCTAGAAAATGTGGAAGCCTCGACGTCTCACAACCTTATGGGCCTCCACGGCCTATTACAGGGATAGATTTACCTTTTACCATCTTCAAGGTCGAAAAACAAGCCAACGCTCTGCTTGCAGCCTGCTTCTTGCTTGACGTGTTCTCCGACCTTAAATATGCAGGCATTACGTTCCTCCGAAACGTCGCTTAACTTCTACTGAACTACTTATTATTATATCCAAGAATACAGTACTAAACTTTAGTTCATTCGTTGTTAAGAGGTACTCGAATTGACGAGAAATATATGCTGAAGGGATCAGGAATCAGTATTCAGGCTGCAGTGTTCACTGCTGTTACTCATGTTGGCACAACATTAAATATTATTTACATAAA